CATAGAAAGAAGGAAATGGGAGAAGAAGCGGCGCGGCTATGCTAGGGTTCCTATAAAATCCTATAAAATCCTATAGGAAAAGAAAAGAAAAGAAAAAGAAAAAAAAAGAAAAAAAAAAGAAAAAAGAAAAGAAAAATGTAAATCCTATAAAATCCTTCGATAGAATACATTAGAATCTAATTAACTCTATGTAAACTTTAAACAATTTAATGAACTTACAAAATCTATGGATTCTAAAAAGTCTATCAAAATCATTTAAAATCTAAATTGAATACACCCCCTTAAACAACGCTTTAGTGTCTATTTGACAATAGCTTCAGCTTTTAGTTTTAAGTTTTAACATTCTAAAAAAACTATTTAATGGTATTATTTAATTTTTGAGTTTTCAAAATTACTTCCTCCGTCCCACTATATTTGTCTACTTTCATTTTTACACACCATTCAATGCACTTCTTTAATCCATTTTATCTTGTAATTTGTATATTAAAATATTATAGAAATTATATATTAATAATCTATATGTTAAGACAAATCAAACAAGATCGCACATGACTATATTTAGGCTTACTCATTGAGAGAATTTGTTGAGTCAAAGTGCTTAGATGAACTATTCCAAAAGTCAAAAGTGGACGAATATAGTGGGACGGAGGTAGTAATATGTATCCTTAAAAATTATCCAAAGGGTTATCTGATTAGGGTGTGTTTGGTGAACAAACAAGATATGAGTTTTGATATCTTTAGATATTAGGATTCATTTTGGGTGTGATGGTGTAAATTACTTGACCGGTCAAACTATACTAGACCGGGTCTAGAATAGTTTGCTTGATTTGGCAAAGTAAGAAAGGTAAAAACTCGTAGATTGACCGGTAGGACTTTAGGTGGAACACCTGTAGCCCAATTTATATTATAACGGAGAATGCACGGGAGCTTTTACAAGGGAGTTTAGAGAGAATGAATTCGGATCCCTCTTTCTGAGGTTTACATGAGTATTTATACTAAGCTGGGGGGACAGGACCACGTGCACCCACGTGGGGGCATGCTGCTGATGTGGTGTTATGACTGTCCCTGAGCCACCTTGTCATCTTGCGAGGGGGATTACCCTCCTTGTCACGTTCTGGCTTGGAAATATTCCTCCAGCATCTCAGCCATGCCAACCACAACAGTCCAAGTCATTTTGGATCCTTCCTGCCGACACTCGTCGACCTTGAAATACTACCCCGTCTGGTCATCGTGGGTTGATTAATGGACTTCGGAAATTGGCTCCACAGACTTGAGTAAGTTGACCGGTATACTATCTGAAGTATACCGGTCAACTTTGCGGTCGATCCGTCGTCTCTTTGCCGCCGATATGGACCTTTCTCTCAAGTTTGACCTTTTTGACCGGTCAACTATCTGGCTCTGATCTCTGACCGGTCATGGGTGAAATACACCCATCATTAAGCCCTCCACTTCTCGGTTATGCAATTTTGTCATTAGCGGGAAGTAAAAATTTAAAACTCGACCTTTAAATTCGAATTTTTGGCTTTTCCCGCTCGAAATTTTTGAATTTCAAAATTCAAAGTGTCAGTTATGACACGTGTGGCCTGCTGGACGGCGTCAGACCTGCGCCCTTTCGTCTTCCCAGGCGCAATGATGGCGCCGCCTGACGCGGCGCGCCCTGGTGAAGCCACGTCGCCTCCTTCTCCTCCCTCCTCGCCTATATAAAGGCTTCCATCCCCATTGCCTTCCTCACTTCTTCCTCGCGCGTCTCCCGAGTCTCACCGGTCAATCTCCTCTCTCTTGCCTCCCAGCCCTCCGAGCCAAGTAAGCTCTCCTCTCTTCTTTATTAGCTCTTAGTTTTCATTCCCGGTCGATGTCTTCTTCTGATAGTCAAGGTATTTCTTCCTCGGATGCCTACGCATCCGAGGAATCCTCAACCTCCTCTTCTTCGACCGGGTCCTCTTTATCCAGTTTCGAAACCCGGTCAGGCCCCAACACCTCCGTCCCTGAACCGCAACCTGTCAACCAAATGCCCGGTCAGGTTTCTCAGGAGAGGGATGAACCGGTTGACGATGAGCCGGCTCCCTACGACCCTGACAGCGAGTCGTATGAGAGATGGGTGGACCGGCTGGATGCAGCCGGCTACTTTCCTCTCCCTCCCAGCTACCCGCTCGACATCTATCCCCGGGTCTCTAAAATTGCCCAAAACAAAGCCCGTAGGAATCTCCCGGAGGGGTACGTTCTTGAGTACGATCCCAGTTGGCCCAACATTATCGAGCCTCACCGGAATGATAGGGTAGGTTTCCATATCATTTCTTTGGAAAGTGGCACGGTCTTCCCCCTGCGTCCCCTTCAGGTCGAGTTGTGCCACTGCATCAAGATTCTCCCTGGGCAACTCACGCCCAATGCCCATCGTTTTCTTAATGCTTTTGTAAATATCTGCTCCCATCTCAAGATCGATCCTTCTCTTCGCGTTTTCCTTTATTTGTTTGAAGTCCTTCCTGGTAAGTCGGGTTGCGACGGCTATGTCTATTTCAAGGGCCGTAACGGTCGCCAATTCATTTCTGACCTTCCACAAAGCAACCGGCTGTGGAAGGAAAAGTTTGTCTTTATAAAATTCCCCACCGTTTCTCCTTTGGCCGGCATAAAGTGGAATGACCACCTCCTGAAACCGCAATACACTGAGCCGGCTAACGCTCCAGACTTGGAAGAAAGTTTGGAGAAACTTCTACAAGGGGACCCGTTCACCGGGCAAATGTTCCATTACGGGGCTTGGATTTGGAGGATCTCACAGGGTGGCACGGGTACACCCAGGGTTGATGAAGCAGCGGGGCACGGGGTACCCGCCCCGGGCAACACTGCGGAAGCTGGGGGTTCCAGTCACCCAGGTATCCTCCCTTCCTCTTCCTCCTTTTTATATACCGGTCCCTGTTCGAGTACTTATATTTTTGCTTGTTTTACAGAGATGAACTTCAGAGCATTTAACATCCCGGCGAAGAAGACTGGTGGTTCTTCCTCTTCCGCCCCCAAAACTGTACCGGTCCAACAGGAACCGGTAGAGATCCATTCAGATGAGGGATCTCCTCTGACCGGGAAGACCGGTCAGACCGGGAAGACCACGGTAAACCCTCCCCTGGACAAGGGAAAGGGAAAAGTTCGAACCAAGCACGCCGCCACTACCCATCCGTCGGCTAAGAGGAGAAGGGGAGAAAATGCCCCGGCTTCAGAATCGCTAGAGGAGCTTTGGGTCAAGATGGGGCGAAAGCTGAAAGAGGTAACATTCGCCCGGTATATTCTCTTGAATTTGTTGCTTTTCTGTCGCACTAACCGGTACGTTTCGTTTTGCAGATGGGCGAGGTTGGGCCTGAAACCCTGGAGAGGCTTGCCGAGGACTCCCCTCCCCGGTCACTCCAGCTGGAGGAGAAGCTGAAAGGAGTCGAGGCCCACAACCGGGAGCTGCAGGACTTGATAGCCCGGCAGCTGGATGAGATGGCCAATCTCTCAGCAATTGCCAGGAGGGCCAAGGCGGAGACCCTCCAGCTGAAGGAAGAGAACCTGAAGCTGATGGAGGACTCGGAGCTGAAGGAGCGAGAGTTCCCCGGCAGGGCCAAGCAATGGGTGGGGGAGAACTTGGAGGAGACGGCCCGGGTGATTACATATACTCCGGAGGTAACGATGGAGGCCTTCAAGTTCATTTACCGGGAACCCAACGGGAAGGAAATGGTCACCCAGGTTGGGTCTTATGGCTTCATGTCTAGCCAAAAGCGAGACCGGGAGGCCACCCACGCGATCCTTGCCGAACGGGATCCGGACTTCAACGCCGAATCATACGACCTGGCCCCCATCCCGGACGAAGAGCCTGCGCCTCCCTTCCCTCTCGAATAGATTTCCCGGCTGCGCCCGGTTGTGTTTTGTAAGCTGAAAACTATGAATTTTCCCGGGGATGCCCGGTGTAATATGTAAACACTTAACATTCTCGTTTTGTCGAATGCTATGTTTAATTTCCTTACCGGTTAATCTTCCACATCTGCTTGCTTGTTGATTTATACTTTGCTTTTGCTTCTTATAAATTCTGACCGGTAGCCCAATCAGACCACTTCTCAATTGTTTCTGACTGGGAGAACTTCAAAGTTCTCTTTGATCACTTTATCTGAAGGATTAGCTCGAGTAACTTTGACCGGTTAAACTTCAATTTTTGCTTTTCGAACGTCTTCATCATGGCGGCCAACTTAAAAAGTTTGACCGGCCGAACTTTACTTTGGCCTTTTGGATGGCTTCACAAATTCTTTGATAAAGTTTAATTTGACCGGTGAATTCCACTCCATGGTTTGACCGGTCAACTGCCTTGCCTTCTAATGGATGTAGAACTTTCGAAGTTCTGCTGTGCCCATACCCAACCGGGGTATTTTTTTTTACTTGACCGGTAGGTTGTAGATGGAAACACCCGTAACCTAGTAATTCTTGAAGTATCCTTAACCGGTAAGAATACTGGAGATTTAACCATGTCGAATGGTTTCGAACCCTCTCTAAGGTTCAAATGCACCCTTCTTCCAGGGCCCCCTCTTCCGGGTGATTAAGTCTTTTAATGGCCCTTTGATTTCTACCATCCCGGGGAGGCCTTAGCTCACCCCCCCCCCCCCCGTTCAAGTCTTCCCTGAGAAGGGGGAAACAGGATGCGCCACGGTGGACGATCCCTTTCTATTTCTTTTAACGGGCATCTTTTAGTCCCCAATCAATTTGACAGCGCCGGCTGATTCCCCGACACCGGTCAAACCTCATGGGCCCGTGTAAGTACGGTTCGAACCCTCTTCCAGGTCCAGCCCTTTTGCAGGCATACCCTCTTCCGGGCCCCTCTTCCGGGTTTTAATATTTTTTCTATTATACTGAGCAAGACCGGTGTTGTAACCAGCGTGCCAGGTCCGGGCCTGTGTCTCAATTGGCTTATCCAAGTGGATTCGATCCACCCAGGAAGACCTCCTAGGATAGGTTCGACCTATCAATTCCGTCGCTACCAAGTAGAGTATTGAACATTACTTTGATTGATAATGTAGTTAGGCCTCGCCTAGTATTACAATCATTTGTAGAACTTGCGAAGATGGTGGGAATTCCAAGTTCTTTCTATTGGTACACCATCTAAAGTTTCCAACCGGTATGTTCCTGGCCGAATGATGGCTCTAACCCTGTATGGGCCTTCCCAGTTTTTTGCTAGCTTTCCTCCGTCGCCGGGTCTACTTGCTTCTCTTCTTCGTAGGACTTCATCTCCAACTTGGAAGTACCGCGGCCCAACCTTGTTGTCATGGTACTTCTTCACAACTTGTTGGTATGTACTCATTTTAACCTTCGCGGCCATTCTCCGTTCTTCGACCAAGTTGAGCTCGGCCAAGTGGTCTTCTTCATTCTGTTGGGGTTGATAATTTGACTCCCGAAACGTGGGGAATTCAGCTTCGATGGGCAGCCTTGCTTCATACCCATAGGTTAGGGAGAATGGAGTTTCCTCATGAGCCCTCCTGGGTGTTACTCGGAATGCCCATATGATGTGCGGGAGCTCCTCTAGCCATTTGTTTCCTGCTTCTCCCAACCGTTTCTTCAAACCATCTACAATAGTTCTGTTGGCGTTTTCGACTTGGCCATTTCCTTGGGGGTACGCCACCGAAGAGCGATTGTGCTTGATCCCGAAGCCCTCCAAGTATTCAGTGAATCTTGGATTTCGGAATTGTGGGCCGTTGTCGGTGACGAGGTTCATGGGCGCTCCAAACCTCGTGATGATGTTCTTCCAAATGAATTTCTTGCATTGTTGCGTGGTAATGTTGGCCAACGCTTCGGCCTCGATCCATTTGGTGAAATAATCGATGGCTACGATTACGAACTTCTTCCCTCCTTAGGCGATCAGAAAGGCTCCAATGATATCAACCCCGAATCTAGCGAACGGGATGACATTCGATACGGGGTGGTAGTAGGTCGCCGGCCTACCAGGATACTTGTAGAATACTTGGCACGTCCTGGGAATTTGGGCGATCTTGAACTCTTCGAAGCCTTTCAACAGGGCAAGTACAAGGTCCCTATATTGTGCCATGTGTTCTTCCCTCGCCTCCATGTTACCGGTCACTTGCCCAACGATCAGGCTAGAGTCAGATTTGATATTGACCTGGCTGATTTTCAGGGCTTGGGCAAGTCTGAGCCCTCCAGTCAGAGCTTCATATTCTGCCTCATTGTTCGTCAGTTTGAAGTTGAAGACGATTGCATGGTAGATCTTGAACCCTTCTGGGGTGGTGAACACAATACCACCCCCGTATCCTCTAGGACCGGATGCCCCATCAACTGCCATCTCCCACCATTGCTCAGTGGGCTTGTTGACCGGTAAGTCTGGAGTTAGACCGGTCATTTCTACTAGGAAGTCAGCAAGGGCCTGTCCCTTAATTGCTGACCTTGGCCGGTACTCAATGCGGAATTGAGTTAACATCATCGCCCACTTCACCATCCTCCCGGAGGATGTTGAATTTCGCAACACTGCACCCAGCGGTTGGTCAGTCAAGACTTCTACCGGGTGAGCTTGGAAGTAGGATGTTAACTTTTTTGCGGAGATTAAAAGCGCATAGGCTGTCTTTTCCATCGCCGTATATCTACTCTCAGCCCCGTTTAGTGCTTTGCTCACATAATAAATGGGCTTTTGCGCCCGATTATCTCTTATTAAAACGGAGCTTACAGCATTTGGGGAAATTCCCAGGTACAGATACAGAGTTTCACCCGGTTCGGGTTTAGACAATACAATATCCGACGCTAGGTACTCTTTCAGCTCCTCGAATGCCCTCCGGCATTCTTCGTCCCATGCGAATGTGTTGGCCTTCTTCAGAACTTTGAAGAAGGGCAGGGATCTCTCAGCTGACCGGGAAAGGAACCGGCTGAGGGCCGCTAAACGACCGGTCAACTTTTGAACATCCCTAACGGAGGCAGGGGCTTGCATTTTAGTGATGGCCCGGATTTTCTCTGGGTTGGGCTATATTCCTCTCTTGGTTACCATGAATCCCAAGAACTTCCCGGTACGAACCGCGAAGATGCATTTCTTAGGATTCAGCCGGAGGTTGTATTTTGCCATGATATCGAACATGGCTCGCATATCAGCCGGATGGTTGAGAGATACCTGGCTTTTGATCAGCATGTCGTCGACGTATGCCTCCATGGTCTTTCCTAGTAGTGGCTTGAATAATTTGTTTACCATGCGCTGGTAGGTTGCCCCCGAGTTCTTCAAGCCAAATGCCATTACCCGGTAGCAGTAGGTTCCTTCAGGTGCGAGGAATGACGTCTTCTCTTCATCTTCCTTGGCCATGTAGATTTGGTGGTAACCCTTGAAGGCATCCATGAAACTTAGGAGTTCGCACCCCGCAGTTTCGTCCACCATTTGATCTGGACTGGGAAGGGGGTATGAATCCATCGGACAAGCCTTGTTCAAGTCCGTATAATCCACACACATTCTCCATGTGTCGCCCTTAGGAGCAAGGACAACGTTGGCCAACCAATCCGGGTATTCGACTTCCCGGATGTGACCAACACTAAGGAGGTCCTTCATTTCCTTTTTGACGAACTCTCGCCGGTCACTGGCCAGGTACCGCTTCTTCTGTCATACCGGTCGACTTCCCTCCCTCACGGCCAACCGGTGGCAGATAACAGAGCGATCTATCCCGGGCATATCCGCCACGCTCCATGCGAATATGCCCGCGTATTCTTGGAGTACCCGTGTAATCTGTGCCTTGAGATCCTCGGGGAGATTTGCTCCAATTCTGACCATCCTCGAAGAATCACCCGGGTGAAGTTCGATTTCCACTGTCTCGGCCTCGGGCTCCAATTTCTCCCGGGTCTCTCCCTTTGTTATCTCTTGGGAGATGACATTGACCCCTTTGGTCATTTTCTTGACTGCCCGGGCATAGCACTCCCGGGCGTTCATCTGGTCGCCCTTCACCTCACCCACACCACCTGGAGTGTGGAACTTCATGCATAGATGAGGCATGGAAATCACCGCCTCGACTCTATTGATGCCTGGCCTTCCAAGAATTGCGTTGTGGACGCATTTGATGTCCACAACTATGAACCGCATCTTCTTCCACACGGTCTTTTCACCTGATCCTAGTTCGACCGGTGGAACTATGGATCCTTCAGCTTCAACGGTGTCCCCCGTGAAGCCTGAGAGAGGGGTTTTGAGGGGTTCAAGTTGTGTTCGACACAACCTGAGTTTTTGGAAGGTCTCCAGGTATAAGATGTTGACACTGTTGCCGGTGTCAACAAGTACCCGGGTGACATCCACCCCATTAATGTCCATGGTGATGACCAATGGATCATTGTGATCTTCACCGGTAGGAGGGAGATCCCGGTCAGTAAAGACGATCGGCTCCCTCCTAGTATGTTTACGCCTGGGCGGTTCAGCACTTACCTCTCCAACGTAAATGCTCCGGACCCATTTCTTTCGTTGCGCGGCTAAATCTCCACCCTCGGGTCCGCCGAAGATCATGCCGATGTGCTCTTTTTCGGGAGCAGTTTGCCGCTCCCTTGGCCGGTTATTCCTCCGCCGATCATTGTCCTGGTCATCCCCTGGGGTATCCTGCGGGGGACGCGATGGCCCTGCAGCGTTAAGTGCCCTGGTGAAGTTGACAGGGGCCATGGTGCTGACTAGTTGGGGCTGGAAAGGTGATGGCTGCGGCATCAGCGTCTGGAATGACGTCACCGCCATCGGAGCTTGTAGGGGCACGGTTCCCGCGCCTGGAAGGGCGAATGGGAGGGAGGAAAGGCATCCCCCCGTTCTGCTGGCACATGGCCATGACCTGGCCAAAGCCCTGGATGGCTTGTAGGTTGGCTGGGTGATTCATGAACTGAGCCATGCTTGGTGGGAACGTAACCCTCGATCCAGCGGAAGGGATGGGGGTCGCGAAGGGACTGGTCACGCTGGCCGTCGGGACAGAGCTCAGACCCAAAGGCAACATCGGGGCTGAAATGATCGGTATGGTAGCAGCCGCAGGGATGCTGGTACCCTCGTTGGTGGCATGCACCTGAGTCGAGGTAGCGTTGATCTGTTGGCTGGAAGACATTTCGAGTGGTTTTCTTGTGGGTAGGTTTTAGAAGAGAAGAAACCTTAACGGTCCCACGGGTGGCGCCAAAAATGATGGTGTAAATTACTTGACCGGTCAAACTATACTAGACCGGGTCTAGAATAGTTTGCTTGATTTGGCAAAGTAAGAAAGGTAAAAACTCGTAGATTGACCGGTAGGACTTTAGGTGGAACACCTGTAGCCCAATTTATATTATAACGGAGAATGCACGGGTGCTTTTACAAAGGAGTTTAGAGAGAATGAATTCGGATCCCTCTTTCTGAGGTTTACATGAGTATTTATACTAAGCTGGGGGGACAGGACCACGTGCACCCACGTGGGGGCATGCTGCTGATGTGGTGTTATGACTGTCCCTGAGCCACCTTGTCATCTTGCGAGGGGGATTACCCTCCTTGTCACGTTCTGGCTTGGAAATATTCCTCCAGCATCTCAGCCATGCCAACCACAACAGTCCAAGTCATTTTGGATCCTTCCTGCCGACACTCGTCGACCTTGAAATACTACCTCGTCTGGTCATCGTGGGTTGATTAATGGACTTCGGAAATTGGCTCCACAGACTTGAGTAAGTTGACCTGTATACTATCCGAAGTATACCGGTCAACTTTGCGGTCGATCCGTCGTCTCTTTGCCGCCGATATGGACCTTTCTCTCAAGTTTGACCTTTTTGACCGGTCAACTATCTGGCTCTGATCTCTGACCGGTCATGGGTGAAATACACCCATCAGGGTGTTTGGTGATATCTCTCTTAACCATTGAACATTCTCCGTCGCCGGCATTGCTACCGCCAACTACCCCTGTTGCTGATCATTCCCGTTTATCACTAATTAAAATATAATTTTACCAAACAAATTCGTTTTAGATTTCAAAACTCACATAATTTCTCGTAGATTTCATAACTTATATGATGGCTACAAACCACCGAGAGTATGAAATAATATAAGTTTTAGAGAGAGAGAGAGAATGCAAAGTAGGAGTATATTGATTTCAAAATTCGGGTCCATTACAATGAGGGGTGACACCCCTTTTATAGGGGGTAAAATAAGCTAAGTCAAAGCTCTCTAATCGATGCCCGTCGTCTAGCGGACGTCACCTATCCTTACGTCTTGTCCCTTTCATCCTATCGCTTTCACCAAGTCTTCGTTGAACGTCGCTTTCCGCACGTCGTCGCGGGGTTCGGGCTCGGCTTGGATGGCCGAGCCGAGCAGGACGGACGAGCGGAGCGCAGAGCCGAGCAGGACGGGCGAGCGGAGCGCAAAGCCGGGCAGGAAGGACGAGCGGAGCTCCGGGCCGGGCAGGAACGTCCAAGCCCGACACTTAGTCAATTTATGCTGATGTCAGCCCTAGGCTGGTGTGGGGTTATTCCCCATCAGAAGCCCCCCACTCTCCGGGTTCCTTGGCAGCTGGCAATGGAACGTGCGAGAGTAGAAACAATGTGGATGGGGTGGCGCATGGGCCCGCTTATTGATCGGTGGACAAGTGGTGACGTTTCGCCTTCCCAAGCAAGGTGGCGGCCCATCATCCAAGCCATCAACCCAACGAAGACCCAGGCTCGCCTTGCATCGGCGAGTCCACCGGCCATTCCTTCATCGGTGGAGCTGCTTCACCTTCTTCCTACCCTCCGTCGTGCCCATGCAACTACTAGTGGAATTGCGGCAAGCGGTACTAAGATTATGCGTTTCTATGTTTTAACTCTTGTAAGGCGTGTGCGCCATGTATTTCCCCTTTTCCTCTTGAGGAGGACAGAGTCGAGCGCAAGTGTTGACCTTCATCCGGGAAGAAAATCCAGGTATGGCCTATGCTCGTCCATCCTTTTGAGGAGGCCAGAGCCGAGCGCGAGCATTGACCTTCAC